CTATTTGGTCATACCTGTTTGTTTACTTAAAACACTGATTGGACTGGCTAATAGTTTATTTTTAATTTCTGTATCTACATTTATAAGAGAAATTGGTCTACATTTTTTGGAGGGTCCTATTTTTTTTTTTTTTTAAGATTTTCTTATTTATTTGACAGAGAGAGAGAGAGCCCAAGCAGGGGGGTCAGCAGAGGGAGAGGGAGAAGCAGACTCTTCGCTGAGCAGGAAGCCTGATGTTGGGCTTGATCCCAGGACCCTGGGATCATGACCTGAGCCAAAGGCAGCCACTTAACCGACTGAGTCCCTCAGGTGCCCTGGAGGGTCCTATCTTTACTACATTTGAGGTTTGGGAAGTTTTCTATTTTATAGTTTCCTTGCCTTCTAATGTTTCTTTCTGTTCATCGTATTATGTTGGCTGATTCTTCCAATGTAATGCTGAATAGAATGATGATAGCAGGCATTGTTGTTTTGCTCCTAATTTTTTAACAATTTATTTGGCAGAGAGAAAGAGAGCAGAGTGAGCAAGAGAGAACACAAGTGGTGGGGAGAGGGGCAGAGGGAGAGGGAGAAGCAGACCCCCTGCTGAGCAGGGAGCCCAAAGCGGGGCTCCATCCCAAGACCCTGAGTTCATGACTTGAGCAGAAGGCAGATGCTTAACCAACTGAGCCACCCAGGCACCCCTGTTTTGCTCCTAATTTTAAAGGGATTGTTTTACATCAGAGTATGCTTTCTGCAGGTGTTTTGAGGATGCTTTTTGGAGTTAAGGAATTTCCCTTTTATTCTGTTTTCAAAGAGTAGTTTTGTTCTTTAACCATGGATATCATGATTCTTTAATCACCAGAGTTTTTGTTTTAATCATGGATAGTTTTTTAAATCTTTTTCTGGTATATTAAGATGAACAAAGTTTTTTTTATCCTGCAAGTCATTAATAAGGTAAATTTATTACATTATCAGATTTCTAATATTAGACTAACCTTGAATTGTCAGAATAATTCCAACTTGGTCTTTTTAATTTTTATTTGTGTGTGTGTTTGTCTTTTTTATTTTTTGGTTTTTGACTTTTTTCTTTTATCATTTGGTTTGTAACTCGACCTTTTTTATACTTTGCTGGATTTGGTTTGTTAGTATTTTACATAGGTCTTTTGCATATATATTCATAAGCGAGATTGCCTATAATTTTCCCTTCATTATCTTATTTTGTATCATGGTTATCCTTGCCTCATAAAACTAATTAAAGACATCCCTTTTCCATCAGTCTTTTGAAAAGCTCAAGTAATTTTCAAATTATTTGTTCTTTCATTGTCAGAACTCACTTGTAAGACTATCTGGGACTGGTGTTTTCTTTATGGAAAGATTTTACACTATTTATGTAATATCTTAAAGACTGTGGGACTATTCCGGCTTTCTATTTGGTTTTTGATTGGTTTTGGTTTGAGTTGTATTCTTCTAAAACTTTATTCATTTCATCTAAGTTCTGAACCGTATTGCATACAATTGTTCATAATTCCTTTTTATTACTTTTTAATATTATTAGCATAGCTAGTTTTGACTTTTTTACTCCAACAATTATTTATTTATGTCTTTGCTCTTAATCAGTTTTATTTTATCAGTCTATTTTATTAGGCTTTTCAAAGAACCAATTTGGCTTAATCTTCTTTGTTACATGTTTGTTCTCCATGTTGATTTCTGACCTTTTATTATTTCTTCTACTATATTGGACTTTTTAAAAAGGTTTTTCTTTTAATTCTAGTTAGTTAACATACAGCATTGTATTAGTTTCAGGTGTACAATATAGTTCCATATGTCCACACTTCCATATGTCACCCGGTGCTCATCACAAGTGTACTCCTTAATCCCCATCACCTACTTCCCCCCATCCCCCATCCTACTTTATTGGGGGTTTTATTGCTGTTCTTTTCTCTAACTTTTCATGTTGCATACTCTTAAACTTACTCAGTTTTTTTTCTTTTCTTTTTTTTTTTTTTAGTTTTTTTCTTTTCTAATATAAGCATTTAAAGCTTAAATATGGGGCGCCTAGTGGTGCAGTCAGTTAAGCATCTGACTTTTGGTTTCAGCTCAGGTCCTGATCTCAGGGTCGTAAGATCAAGCCCCACATCGGGCTCTGCACTCAGTGTGAAGTCTGCTTGAGATTCTCTCTCCCTCTCCCTCTGCCCCTCCCCCCGCTCTAGCTCTCTCTCTCTCTCTCTCTAAAATAAATAAATAATCTTTTAAAAAAAGAAAAATAAAGTTTAAATGCATCCATATATGTCAATACGTGGTTTTTCATTATTGCTTAGTGCTAAATATTTTCTAATTCTACGGTCTTCTACATTAGGTTTTTAAATTTCCAAATACATGAAGTTTGTCTAACCATCTTTTTGTTTTTGATTTCTAACTTGTTTTGATTATGGTCAGAAAACATGGTACAGCCTGATTTATTCTACAAGGCGCTCTCCTTTCTCATTGTTTTCTATTTCATTTATCATGTCAGTTCTGATTCCCTCTAATGCCCAAGGAGTAATTTAGAGGAGTACTTTAACTCAGAATATGAGGAACACGTGGGCAGGGATGTCATCTTTTTACCATTTTATTTTTATTAGATTCCGATTCTCACTTACTCCCTGAAATAACTCAATCACCAGGGAAGCAAGGTGAGGGAGCCTGAAGGATGCAATACATTCTCTCCAGTACCGCCCCTGGAAGAAAGTGCAGGTTGCAGGGCTTAGCTCTCTGGGGGCTGACGAGAGCTGAAGCCAGAGGCAGTGGGGAGGGTCTGCTCTCCCAGCCCAGCTCTCCTGGCCCAGCTCATAGCCTCTTCTGGAAGTGGGGAAAGACTGGGACCCTGGTTCCCGGAGCATGCACAGACTGCAGGGCTAGGGGATTCCCTTGGGGCAGACCTCCACCTGCCCAACCTGCTACCTGTGGTCCTGGAGGACAGCCTAATTGTCTTTTTAATTGAATTATAATTTACATATCATAAACTTCCTTCTTTTAAAGCACATAGTTCAGTGGTTTTTAGTATATATATATATTTTTTAAATATATATATTAAAAAATATATATATATTTTTTTTTATT